TATATAACTCGAATCAAGTCGAGTTGAAAGATTTTATAAAATAAATTTGACTCGACTCGACTTGAAAAAAATGAGTCAAATAGAGTTGATCCTTAAACTCGACTTGACTCAACTCATTCAGAACTCTAATTTTATGATTTAAATTGAAGTTTTCTTTAAAATTTTGAATTAATATATAATAGTTATAAGTTACTTTTAATATTTTTTACTAATATTTTTATTTGTATTAAAATAGTATTTAATATATAATTATAATTATAATTTTATTTTATTTTATTTTTTGTTTTTATATTTAATATTTGATTTTAGTATTAGTTTATTTTATTTTATTTTTTTTGATTTATTTATTTAACTCAAATAGAACTTGTTAAGATTAATTTACATCTTAATAGAAATAAAAAAAAATATTAAAAAAAAAAAAAAAACAAAATCATAAATATCATAATAAAATATTTATATTATTAATATAAGCAATTAATTTTCCTTTCGTCCTTTCTTATTAATGGCAGCTCTTAAAGATGACATTGTGATTAACACAGCTTCCTACAAAAGGTATTGATTTAATTAAAATTTCTTAATAAATTTCATGTAAATAATTAGTATTACCTCTGTCCTAATGGTTCTACTTCCTTGATCAGGACACGTGTTTACCCATAAATCAAATAATTCATCTGCTTCTTCACCATTACATTTTAAATCTTCATCAACATCAATAGCAGCCTCTATACCTGTTAATCCACCAAAGACAACCAGCAAATGACTAGAAAAATAAAATTCATTTTTTAACATTGAATTTCCTTAAAAACTATAAAATCAGGTTCTCGTTTTTTTAAAACATATACCTGAATTCTGGCAATTCGTCTATCACATCATCAACGGCTTTACCACGTTCAGATGTTCCTATAGTTATATCGTAACCACCCTTTTTGAGAAAAATACAATGATGAATTAGAAAAGGTTAAATTAGCTTTATTAAATATTAGTACTTTTGAATTCTTACAGGAAATGAACATTCAGTAAACACTTTTGATATGGAATCGGCTATTCTAATGTGATAACCCCAATACAATCCATGTTGTTTTGGCAATTTTGGTGATACAACTTTAGCTTCAATATATTGATGGTCTTATAAAAAAAAAAAAAATAATTAAAATATAGATAAAATATGAAAACAATAGCCACATGATGATAATTACCTTTCTTTGATACCTCATAATTTCCCATATCTAAAGTTACACGTATACCTGTTTTAATTGATTTATCAATTATCACATACTAATTTAAAGTAAACGTCAGTAATTCTATTAATACGTACACCATGAATTAATTAGAATAAAAGGAATACCTTGGAGAGTCCAGCATTCACTAAAGATCCTTTCCCATTTCTTGGTTTCTTATCAATTATAACCCCTTCTCTAAATGGGCTTTTTTCTTCTTTACGAACATGATGAGGACAATCTAATGGATTCAATAACCCTATGAAAGAAAAAAAGTTAGTAAAGTTAGTATGTAATATCTTTGCGAGAAATATCACCATCACACACCCGCATATGTGAGATCTTGATGTACAGGGAAAAGTTCCTTGCGTAGGTATCTAGAAAATATAAAAAATCAAAATCAATTTAAAAAAAAAATAAAAATTCATACATTACTTACTGAGGTGTTTCTAAATATTGTAATATTCTAGCTAAAAATATATTTGGATCCAAAGATATTCCTTCTCCCCGTTTATTTTTTATATGTGATTCAATTTTTGTAGTAGAAGATTCAGAACTTTTACGAATTCCTAATTCATTAAATATTATGATTTCATCTACATTGAAGACGGCAAATGATCGTGCCAACTTTTTATCCAAAATAAAATAAAAATTAACATCAATCAAAGTAACATAATTAAGTGTCAAAATATGATTAAAAGTTACCTGTCCCGCCAAATATGTTTTTAATTCAATTGATTGAGCATTATCTATTATGGAACCTGGAAGTGCTACACTAACAGTGTAGAGTTTTTTTTTATCTGAGCAGACTTGCTGAGAACGCTCAATATTAGGCGATTTATCTTTAACGGATGTTTTATTGAATTCAGAAGTAGCTTTGCGCTAAATATAAAGAAAATAAAATTTTGAATTTGAAACAAAAAAAAAAAAATTTTTTTTTAAGTTTACCTTTTTATGATGTTCAGTCATTAATTAAAGAAATTAAAAATTAGAATCTCTAAATTTTCAAATTTCATTTTCTTTTAAATTATCGAAAATGTTAAGAAATTGTCTGTCAAATTTAGTTAGACCTTGTAGATCGATTTTGCCCCGGATAATGGGGATCGATTTTTTTTTTTTCATTTCTTTCCAATAATTTTAATTTTTCTTTTGTTCTTGGTTTTATATCATTAGCATTTAGTATTTATCAATTGATTTAATAAATAATAATTCCTAATATTATAAATATAAACGTAAAGAACTGAGCGCATTTCCCGTGTAAGTTATCCTCGATCAATCAATTTTTATACACCAAATTTTAATTAACCGTTAATTTCCGTGACCAATAGTAAGTAAGAACAATACTAAATAGAGGGACAATGTAAATACTTTTCTTAACCTAGCGGGAAATATAAAAAAAAACTAGCAAACGACTATATTTCTAAAGGCATTTTGTAACTAGAGCTAGTCAAATATTTTAGTATTAAATATACTCCTAATTTAGGAGAAGGGTGAAACACAATGAATCCATCATTATGAAAGAAAATTTATTGGCTTCCGTAAATTCTTTCATGTTTTGGTTGCTAATGATATACTCGAAATCAACAATTACAAAGTCCTTTTACTTTATTTTATATGCTCATATCAAAAATATTTTGTAGAAAAGGACTCATTAATTTTGCGTTTCTTGGATACGGTAATGAGAAATATTGATCGCGTTATTAGACAAGATTTTGGTGATCTTTGAACCAGCGAAAAGAAGTTCAAGCACTTTCATAGCTTTTAATGCCAAATTTTCTTTGTTGACCGTAGGGAAAGAGGAGTAAATTATTTTATTATTAAAATGGTTTATGTACAGACGCGTCGGAAAGTAACGCCGATTTAAATTACATTTATTTTCTGGATCTTACAATTAAAATGGTTCTTGCATTTTAAGCTCCCCAAAGTTAAATAATTTTTTTTTTTTTTAAAAAAAAAGACTAATTAGCTGTAAAATTATGCAAAATTTAGAAACAATTATTAAAAGAAATATAAATTTATACGCAGCTCGAAATTGTCCATTTTTATATTTATGAATTTTTTTTTGGATCTAAAACATATAGAAAAATTTCTTTTGTACATTACAATTAAAATAGTTAAAATTTTCCACAAATTAAACCTTTTTTTAAAAAAAATACAACTAACTGGACTGGCCTTAAAATTATATAAAATTTAGAAATAATTATTAAAGTTAATATTCTTTATTAAAAGTTTGATCGGGCGATACTTTCCGACGTGACTGTACCTTTTTGTGAGGAATTATAATAGAAGCTTCCTTTTTATTTTCAGCTAAATATTTTGACCTCAACATACATAGGTTGGACTTCTGATGGATTTCTTGATAACAATCTCAAAGTAACGTATTTTAATTTAATAGATCAACTTGTAAATCCTATGCGTGGTAATTGCGGCGATAATTCCTTTTTTTTTTTTTGTTCTACATAAATTGTTACAATCACTTAAGAATCCCAAAAAACGAATTGGGGCAGCCAAATTATGATAACTTTTATTATTAATTTCATACTCAATTTTTTTCATAGGGATCTGATCGGTTTAGCAATAAGAGCAAAAAAAAAAAAATGTAGTTTGCGATATTTCTGAATTTGATAGTAGTCTGATTTGTATTTTTGAAAACAATTTTTTAACGAAATCGTTAACGTTCTATATTGAAATTAGAAACTCAAAGTCCAAAGATTAATAATAATTATATCATTAACCCACAAGTCTTGATAGCATCATTCGACAAATTTACTTGTTAAACAAATCTATTAATTTTTGATCATAGATCTAATATAAACTTTTATCATAATAATCAATTAATTCATGTCATCTTGGTAACCTCATATTTATCAATTTTGGGGTGATAAAATTTTGTTAACATTGAAGTAATTCATTAAAGATTTTAGCATTCTTCTGCATACGAGTCTTTTTGAACCAGATGGAGAAATTTTAAATTTAAATAAATAATTAAATCTATAAATTAAATCTAAAATAATAGAGTTATAATACAAAACTTTCAAGATAATATTTTGTATACTGCTTTAACACATTTAAAAAATCATCAACTGTTCTTGGAATGGTAAATTTCTAAATAACATTAAATTATTATAAAAATTAATATTCCTACCATTAGTTCAGATTATATAAGTTTCTGATCTATGTAGATTATCACGTGATGATAATGGTAATAATAAAACAATAGTCACAAGTTGGACCTTAATGCATACATATTCCATTTCTCTTGATCTCTTAACTTTTCATTATCTGTTCTTTCCATATTTTCCATTAATATTTCAGTTCCAAATATATCTTAAGTTCTAAAATATAATAAATTGTTGAGTTGATTTAAGTATTACAAATACTTGTAGGCAGTGATATTCTCTGGAAGATTGGAAGCATATTGAACTTCTAATCCTTCCAATTCCAATGCTAACTTCCACGGTTGATAATATATTACCTTACGTATCAATTTTTGGACCTGATTTAGTTTGCATTTGGACCAATGATTTCAATCTTTCAAAAGCTCTTAAGAAAACCTTACCACTAAAAATTAAATTATATGATAAAAGGAAAAATATATATATATAGCATTTATATATTTTAATGCTCTAAACGGTTCAGTTTAGTCTAGATTATAGGCCAATCTGAAACTGAACTGAACTGTAAACTGGTAAAAATCTGAACTGAACCAAAAATTTCAGATTAATCTAAAATTTTGGATTATTTAGAATGATCCTTTTATCGTTCTTTTAGAATGATAATTTAATTGTTTCAATCAAATGATTTTTTTATTGTTCGTTTAGAATAATAATTTAATCATTCCAATTGAATAATTTTCTTATCATTCGTTTGGAACGATAACTTCAATCGTTCTAAATGAATGATTTTTTTATCATTTGTTTAGAATAATAATTTAATCATTCTAATCAAATGATTTTTTTATCGTTTGTTTAGAATGATAATTTAATCATTCTAATTGAATGATTCTTTTATCGTTCATTTAGAATGATAATTTCAATCATTCCAAATGAATGATTCTTTTATTGTTCATTTGAAATGATAATTTAATCGTTCCAAATGAACGATTTTCTTATCGTTCATTTGAAATGATAATTTTATCATTCTAATTGAACGATTCTTTTATTGTTTGTTTGGAATAATAATTTAATCATTCCAATTGAATGATTCTTTTATCATTCGTTTAGAATGATAATTTAATCATTCCAAATAAACAATTTTTTATCATTCGTTTGGAATAATAATTTGATTATTCCAATTGAATAATTTTCTTATCATTCATTTAGAATGATAACTTCAATTATTCTAATGAACGATTCTTTTATCATTTATTTGGAATGATAATTTCATCATTCTAATCGAACGATTTTTCTTATCGTTCATTTGGAACGATAACTTCAATTATTCTAAATGAATAATTTTCTTATTGTTCATTTAGAATAATAATTTAATTGTTTTAATAAAATGATTCTTTTATCATTCGTTTAGAATGATGTTAATGTTACTCTTTCTGTCGAATAAGTTAACTATGATTTGAAGTCAGGGAGACAATAGCTATGACTTAAATCCAATCAACTTGATACTCTATTTATTAGAGAGTTTATTTAGTTAATAAGAATAAAATTATAAGTTTTATGTTTGCAAAATGTTAAATGTGTTTATTATTGTTATTAATTGAATATTGAATATAATGTTAGGATCTTGTTTTTAATCTCTTTTGAATCTGTCCTTTTTCAAGGCATTTTTATGCCCTTTATATAGAAAAATTACAATTAAAGAAAATTTATGGTATTTATGATACTATTGACAATAATAACAAAGCTAACAAATATGGTAATTATGATATAAATAATAATAATTATATAAATATTAGAAATATAATAAATAGTATGTGTATCCTATTTGGCAGATATAACAGATTTGGCATATTTGGCATATATGTCATATTTGACAGGTTCATCAATTTTTGCCAATTTCAATGATAATTTCATTGTTTCAAATGATCTAAAATTTTGGATTAATCTAAAATTTTCAGTTCAGTTCAGATTTTTTTCAGTTTAGATTAGATTTATAATCTAAAAAAAATTTGAACTGAACTGAAAATTTTCAGATTGAAATTTTTGCAAACTGAAACTGAACTAAAGTTGATCTAAACTGAAAATTTTCAGATTAATTCGAACTGTTCAGAGCTTTAATATATTTTAGCTTTGAAATTTTAGTATACCTAGAAATTCTGAAAATTCCAATATTTTCTTTTCTATTAGTGCATAATAAATAAAGCATCCATACCGCAGGATTGTTCAAATATAATGTACGAATAAAATTTTCATATAAGTACAGTACTTATATATTGTATTATATACTTAGTATACAATAATTAATATGATTGTACATTATACGATATATACTTCATATAATTTTTGTACAATTTTTATACTTAGTACAATAGTATAATTAAATATACTAATATAAATTTAATAAATTTTAAAAAATATTGCATTTATAATTTTTTATACAAAAATAGTCTAAAGTTTAAAAGAATTTATTGTTAAAATAAATAAGAAAAGTGGATTCAGTAATAATTTATGTTACTATAAAGCTCATTTTAAAAACTTGATAAAAACCATTTAGAATTTAAAACTATAATAGATAAAACTAAAAGAATTCTTACATATTTTAAAATTTGTCAAAATTTTCAAAATGCATATAGTTAGCAAGAAAAAGAAGAGATATTTGCTCTTGATAATAAAAAGCAGAAAGTTAATTTAGGTAAAATATTAAATAAATTTATTATTTAATTATTATTATAATAATAATATTTATTATTTTTAATAGAAAATAATCTATCACAAGAATCAGTATCAACTTTACTAAATCATTTGCAATTACTATTATTATAAAGAGAATCAATTTCATCTCATTCATCTTCATCA